TAGTAGCTATTTGCTCCTAGTAGTAAGGCCAGGAGCCCCTAGTAGCGCCCCCTACTAGGCCGATACCTTTAGGCCTTTAGATAGTTTTGTTTTCTTGATTTGTTTCTAACAGCAATGGCCCAATGCCCTCCAACCTAACAGCGATGGCCTCCAACCTTTTCCCTTCTTCCTCTTCTTCCATTTGTCCTTTTTTAGACCTTTCTTGTGTTTTGATCCTCCTTCTTTAGACCTTTGGAGCATGTCTTTCTGCCTTGCTTTTCTTGTTTGTTTCCTTTATGTCCTTCAGTTTAAAGCAAGAGAAGTAGTGACAGATAGTGCCGTGCATTCCTGGTAGCGCTCTTGTTTGTAATTAGATTGCCTGTGCACGCGCGAGCTTTGGCAGGCTGCGATGTTGAACAGTGTGGAGATGAATCTTTGCTTTCAAGAGCAAAAGACACAAGTCAGTTTGAGCAGAATGACAATGGCATTCAATTGTTGCAAAAGTTTTCACTTTGCATACAGAGAACTGCAACTCTTTATTGAAGGAAGTTGTTTTTGGAGGCCATCCCTTCTAGGTTAGAGGCCATCGCAAGTAGGTTGGATGCCATCGCTTCTGGAAGCGTCCTTGCTCCTAGTAGCGCTGCCAGGAGCCCCTTGTAGCTTCTTGTTACTAGTAGCTACTTGCTCCTAGTAGTACGGCCAGGAGCCCCTAGTAGCGTCCTTGCTCCTACTTGCTTTTGGTTCCGCTTTGGAGAATCCTTTTCCCAGGACTGGAGATTCGGAGAAAGGACCCTGCACGGATTTGGCACTCCTGCAGGTTGGAGCGAACATTTGCCCTGTGGTGAGGCGTTTACAAGATGAATCCTTCTACAATCTAGAACATGCGCTTGAAAGTGGCAAGGGATGCTTTCAAGTTAGTTCGTTGGGTTGTTCTGTGTTTTGCTTGTTTACTTCTTTGGGTTGTTCTTTTTGGTAGGGCGTTGACGGGCATTGCGTTTCTTCAGGCGATTGGCCACTTGTGCCTCCATTTGAACTGCGACGTGGAACGGGTGTCTGAGGCCCTGGGTCTTAGTGGGACGCTAAGAGTGTTCTTCTTTATTGCTGTTCCTATCTTTTGGTACTCGATTTACTTGGGACGTCTCAAGGCCCTAGACTTCGGCGTTCTTGTTACTAGTAGCTACTTGCTCCTAGTAGTACGGCCAGGAGCCCCTAGTAGCGTCCTTGCGCCTAGTAGCAATGCCAGGAGCCCCTAGATGCGTTCTTGTTACTCGTGTTCCTTTTTATTGTTGTTCCTGTCTTCTGTTTTGTTTTTTGGTCTTGCTCCTCTTGTTTTGTTTGTTGGCCCGGGAGGGGGGTTAAGCCGCAATAAGGGCAAGTAGCTAGTAGTAAGGGGTAACTACTTAACTACTTCTTGAGTAGCTTATTGCCTGTAATACTAGCGGAATTTGTGTGCTTGGATTCGCGGATGTAATGTTGATGGCCTTTGTCACCATTTATGGAGTGTATTATGGAAAACTTTGCATATTTGTCCATCCCTTTAAGTACCCCTTGCATATTGAAACCAGAGCGCTAGAGTGCTAGCTTAGGTCTTTACCTTTAGCACCTGTGAATATCGTTTACATATTCGTTATGTGTTTCTTTCTGCTCCTTTTTGAACTTAAGACTTTACTTATTATCTTTCTATACACCTGCGATTTGTCTTCCCTTACTACTACAACCAAGAATGCTTCTCACGATTCGCGTTTGTTTGTTTTCTTTTTGGATCCTTTCTTTGCAGGTACAAGCAAGAATGCTTTTCATTACTGTTGGTTTGTTTTTTGTTTGCTTTGTATATAGACATCTCTTCCTTTTCCCTTTGAAGATGGCTCGTTGACCTTGCTACTACAAATAAGAAATACTACATTTTATAACTGTTTGCACTCTTATGTTCTTTCTTTGCACCTTCTCTCTCTCTCTCTCTCTTCTTGGGACTGCCTAAACTTCAAGTGTGTTGCCGAGGTGTTTTACGATTGCGAACTTCTCCACCGCGTGACCTTGAAGACTTTGCAAGAAAGGTCGCTCGATGCGCATTTTTTATGCTTATTCACCCCTGCTACTAGGTTGGAGGCCATCGCTATCAGGTTGGGTTGGAGGCCATCGCTAGTACCTTTGCTCTCCATTTGCTCCGCCTTTGCTCCGCATCCGGTTCCGGCTTTGCCATAACATGCCTGGTGGAAGAAAAACAGCACCCGATTCGAGTGTGAAAACCCAGTTTGACCACAAAAGTTCTGAGAACTATTTAGAGTGAGATCAGCTGTCCAAAACTGGCTCAGGACCACGGTTCCCACAAATGCCAAAATCCAAACCGGCGAAAAGCGCATCACTGACGTTGATAGCTATTAAGAAGAGCGCAAAATAGGAGCAAGGACGCCACTAGGGGCTCCTGGCACGCAGAGAAATGGAAGGCCGAACAGGAAAGGTTCGCACCCACGACTATGGCCCATCGATGCCCTTGCTACTAGAAGCGTCCTTGCTACTAGAAGCGAGGCACTTGTTACTACTAGCTTCTTGTTACTAGTAGTAAGGCACTTGTTCCTAGTAGCGATGCACTTGTTCCTAGTAGCGTCCTTGCTCCTAATAGTACGGCCAGGAGCCCCTAGTAGTGTCCTTTGTTCCTAGCAGAAAGGCTTCTTGATTCACAGCTAGTTCTTCTTGAACATGGAAAGAGCTTAAGTTGACCACCTTTTTGGGTTGACCACCTGATTCCACGATTGACTCGGTGTGGAATTGGTTCATTTGTCTTGCAATTCTTGGACTTGGAATTTGTTTCCCATTCACAGTGGAGATAGCAGGGGCATTGATGCGAGGTCCTTGCTGGCCTCTACTCCTTAGACTGAGTTTCAGGAGCAAATTCAAAATTCATGGCACCGTGCAAGGAGTGCAAGTGATTGTACTTTGGTGCTGCATGAGGTCGTGCATTGCAATTTGAAGCTAGGCGCACTGAATCAAGATTGTTGACAACGCAGGCCGCGCGATCAGAAGCAAAAAGCCGCATGAAACGCTATGGCAGCAGCTGTGAATACGTGGAACTGCATAGTGTGGTGAGGCCATCCCTCTGGCCATGGCTACTAGGTTGAAGGCCTCTCAAGCTCCTACTAGTAGCTCTTTTCTCTGAAAAATCCAGAAAGGAAAGCCCTGAGATGGCCCCGTCAACTCTGTCAGGTTCTGTGACTTTAGCAAGGATAGCAAGGAGGAAGTGTTGTGGTTTTCATGTGTTTTCATCGCACTGCTCGAAACTGACAAAGAAGTACACTATGTCCTTCCGTTGTTCCTTCCGTTGTTCCGTCCTTTCTGTTCTTTTCCGTCATTTCTGCCAACCAGGTGTGTCACACGAGGTGTGTAGCAAGAAGCTAGTAGGAGCAAAGGGCATCGCTACTAGGAGCAAGGACGCAAGCTACTAGGGGCTCCTGGCATCGCTACTAGGAATCTAGTAGGTGTGTCACATGAGGTGTGCCACACTGGTCGCAGTATTTTTGTCTCGAGTGTCGTTAAAGTCAAGGAATAGGCGTCCTTGACCTAACGATGACCATCAACCGGGACGACCGGTCTTCTTCACCAGCCTCAAGAGCCTCCGAAGCACCTGTGTTCCCATCCGAAAAAGGCTTCAACCTACTGCTCCTAGTAGCGATGCCAGGAGCCCCTAGTAGCTTCTTGTTCCTAGTAGTAAGGCCAGGAGCCCCTAGTAGCGTCCTTGCTCCTAGTAGCGATGCCCTTTGCTCCCTCTAGCTTCTTGCTACACGTAGCAATGGCCTCCAAACTAATAGCGATGGCCTCCACCCTAGTAGCGATGAACTGGGGTCTAACAAAGGGTAAGAGAAGGTATGTGGTTCTGCCACAATTTGAAGGTGTGCCAAAAGTGTGTTTGTGCTGCCTCAACACACACGTCACATGTTGATTTAGTTTGCTTCACATCCAAGGATCGTCCAGAGCCTCCTCTGGATGGTTTTGTGTGCTTCAAGAAAATTTGATGGAGCAGAGTGATGATGATTTTGCAAACTTTGCTGATGAGTACATCCAAGAAGGAAAAGTCAGCGGCCTAGGGGATGCACTCGTGGCCACTACAGTGCTGGATGATGGCTTCTCGTTTGCGATTTGTGTAGGCAAGCTACAGGTTTAAGATAGTTCAAACGACGAAGGCCTATGCAGAACAATGAAATGGTACCAAGACTTCACTTCGAAGCATGTCTTAATTCGACATCGGAGCACCTTTCCCAGAAGATCAATAACCTTGGACAATGTTTAAGTACACTACACTGCAAGCAAGGATTTCTCTTTCGGCTCTTTCTTTTCTTTGCGAGCATGATGATTTTTGCAGTTGATGACACGCTGTCATCTCTCGATTAAGAACAAAAGTTCCATCTCACGAACTCTCATCTTCGCACAAAAGGGCCAATGTGGCATGGCCTCATACTCATGGTCCTAGTAGATTCCTTTGCTAGTAATTGCAAGTGCCTCGCTAGTAGTAACAAGTGCCTTACTAGTAGTAACAAGAAGCTATTAATTAGAATTCTCGGCACCTCTGAAGAGATCATTTAGATCTGTGGCCATAGCCTCTGAACCTTCTTTCAGTTGTGGCAGGACTGGGTGGGCCGCCGCCTCCTCCGCCTGATCCTTTTCCTTTCTTCTTTTTCTTCTGCGTTACTAGTAGCGTCCCTGCTCCTAGCAGTAAGGCCAGGAGCCCCTAGTAGCGTCCTTGCTCCTAGCAGTAAGGCCAGGAGCCCCTAGTAGCGTCCTTGCTCCTAGCAGTGAGGCCAGGAGCCCCTAGTAGCGTCCTTGCTCCTAGCAGTACGGCCAGGAGCCCCTAGTAGCGTCCTTGCTCCTAGCAGTAAGGCCAGTAATGCCAGGAGCCCCTAGTAGCGTCCTTGCTCCTAGCAGTATGGCCAGGAGCCCCTAGTAGCGTCTTTGCTCCCAGCAGTAAGGCCAGGAGCCCCTAGTAGCGTCCTTGCTCCAAGGCCAGGAGCCCCTAGTAGCGTCCTTGCTGGTATAAGGCCAGGAGCCCCTAGTAGCGTCCTTGCTCCTAGTAGTAAGGCCAGGAGCCCCTAGTACCGTCCTTGCTCCAAGGCCAGGAGCCCCTAGTAGCGTCCTTGCTCCTAGCAGTAAGGCCAGGAGCCCCTAGTAGCTTCTTGCTCCTAGCAATATGGCCAGGAGCCCCTAGTAGCTTCTTGCTCCTAGCAATATGCTAGACCAATAATATGTGGAGCCCTTTTCCTACAGAGGATGTGTGTGTGCCCCTTGAAGTCACAGGGATCCAATTGGATTGTGATGTTTGTCCTTTTTGTTTTTGGCAGGGGGGGTGCCCCACACCTGAAGAGAGGGCATCTAACAAAGAGGCTCTTCAGGTTGTGCTGATATCAGCAGGGACGCTTGCTGACGTACCTGCATCAATTTTTAAGTTTCCGTAAAGGGCTAATGCACTTGGCAGACAAGAGCGTACGTCGTCATTTCGACCTGATCGCCGTTTTCGGTCTTGAGTTTTGGCCCCTTCTCCTTTTGAAGACCCCCAGGTCCGGCGGTTCTTACCTGTACTCTTAGGAAGTGGTAACCTAGGCTGGCGTGTGGCACCGCTGTCCAGTCAGTATGCATTTCTATAAGTGTGTGTGTGTGTGTGCGCTCGATTTTTCTTCAAGAAATGCAGGGCAGGAAAAAGAAAGAACAAAAGGTCCTACGAAAGGAAAAGAGAGTGTCTAAATAAGAAAGTGTCAAACAAAGTAGGGACATGGCAAACATAAAAAGATATGGCAATGGCCTCCAACCCAATAGCGATGGCCTCCAACCTAGTAGAAAAGATTTCCAAAGAAAGAAATGTGTCTCGTTGTTTTCTCGTGTTCTTTCGTTGTTCCGTTTCGAGTTTTGTCGGCTTCTTTCTGTTCGCTTTAGCGCCGCCCTTGAGGCACCAGCACTGTCTCTTCCCTTGGTGTGAGACGCTTCGACTATGTTCGTGACCGTGGGAGCCATGAGAATGGAAATTGTGATCCATGTGTTTTTTTCAGCACGAACCGTGGCTGTCTCAAGGGTGCAAGATGTCGATATTGTCATTTGTCTCATCCAAACTGGGAGAAGGACAAAAACAAAGCAGCACATCGTCCCAGGAAACAAACACGGGACAAGTTTAAAGCTGCAGTGCATGAGCTTTTGCAAGCTTCTGACGGCAGATTGGAACAGATTCACGATGAACTGCAGGCAGAAGCACGCAAGAGCCCGTATGTCCGAAAGTTGCTTCAAGGCTACTTGGATGTTGAATTCGATGGCCAGCTCTCCTTTCCAGCGCCATATAATTTTGTGCCCCTTCGCTCAGCAGAAGCATCTGAAAGGATGCCAGGAATGCCAGGAATTCTTTGTGATGACTGTGTCAATGACAGCTATGCAAGTTCACCACCTTTTGCTGAAGAGCAGGTGAGCACCGCTACGACGCTGGGTTTGCTGATGGAAAGTCCGGTCCCAAAGCCGGCGCTGTATGCGTCGCCCAATGGGCACTCCCGGAACGTGGGAAGCCTGCGAAGCACTCCCCCCACGGTGAGGAGCATCGTTCCTCTTCGACCTCCTCAAGCTCCTCCCTCAGCTCCCTTTGCTCCTCGAGCTCCGCTTCCTTTGCATGCACCTCCAAGCCACGCGCCGAATCTCATCACTTCCGAACCTCATAGTCCCTTATTCGGACCTCCAGATAAGCCTCCAGGATCACTTGGGCACGATCAAGTCGAGGTTCTGAACCTTTTGTTGAGTCGCTGAGTTGTGTTTCTCAACTGGGACACTCTGATGCAACCGCCACGGCCAGACGGCCCAAAATGGTGGGCAGTTTGCATGATATCCGAAACAGTCCGACCTCCGGTTTTAAGAGGTCCTTTGTAGAGTTTCAGAAGCACAAGTTCAGTCTTTTTTTAAGTCAGTTTCACTCTGTTTCACCCTGTGCCCCACAAACCTCCCCCGATGGCATTTTGCGTTGGCAGATAGGAAAACAAGGCACGGTCAGCAGTTTGCACATACGAAGCCTATGATGACTTGAAAAGTGATTCTCTTTGAAACTTGAAGTCCACAGCTCAGCTCAAAATGAAGTCCTGGTATGTTTTATTGCTGTACAAACACTCCAATGATGCAAACATCAGCCATGGTCAGGAAGTTGGACAGACACTGATGATATGTAGTCACTACGTAGAGTCAAAGCTTCCTTATCTGAAGTTGTTAAGAGGGCCTTCATTTGGTCATTTGGCCTTCATTTAAGTCATTGTTTCGTTCAAGAGATCTCAAAAGAGTTTCTATTTGCTTGCTAATTGGGTTTCCACGCTTCTATGACGCTTCAGAGGCATCGTTCATACCAGTATTATCAACATCGAGAGGGCCATGCCAGGGCAAAGAGGGGCGCTCCCTCCAGAAGAAAGATGGCAAGGCGAAAGATGAACACCCATCTGCCCAATAGCGATGGCCTCCACCCGAAGAGCAATCGTGAGTGGATATATTCCGATGATAGTTTTTGCTGTGCACATTTGTTCACCATATTCCTTTTGGTGATTTTTAAAGCTTTAGCCGTGGGTTCTTACGATCATGATGCAATGCATTTGGATGCTCAACCGAATTTTGGCACTCGCAGGCTTGAATCTGAGTCCTGGCAGTCCAGTTCTGGTCTTTAGCAGCTCAGTGGGAGATTGGGTCAACGGCAGCATTGTAGAGCGACTCAGCGGCAGATTGGTCCTTGATGTCGTCTCAGTGCGTTGTTTGCCTTAAACGAAAGAGACCAGCGGCTACTAGGTTGGAGGCCATCGCTACTTGGGTGGAGGCCAGCCATCGCTAGTAGGTCGGAGGCCATCGCTACTTGGGTGGAGGCCATCGCTAATAGGTTGGAGGCCATCGCTACTTGGGTAGAGGCCATCGCCACTTGGGTGGAGGCCATCGCTAGTAGGTTGGAGGCCGTCGCTCTTAGGTTGGAGGCCATCGCTACTTGAGTGGAGGCCATCGCTACTTGGGTGGGCCATCGCTAGTAGGTTGGAGGCCATCGCTAGTAACAGGAAAAGGAGTGGATTGGAAGGATTGTGTTCAACCTTCTGCAAAGGAAACAGAGGAAAGACTACAATAAGACGAAAAGAAAGCAAGGTCTAAAGGAAGCAAGAAGGGCTGAAAAAAAATAGTGAAAAGAGAAGGAAAGACAATAATGTGTTTGCTGATAAATTAAGGTTTCTTTGAGAAAGAAATTGGCAATCAATGCTTTCTTTTCTCCGAAATTGCTATTCGCAGATCACTGCCCCTTAATCGTCATAGAGACCGTCTTTGCTTTGTGTTTTTGTTCTTTAATAAGAACAAGAAGCTACTAGGAACAAAGGGCATCGCTACTAGGAGCAAGTTCGCTACTAGAGGCTCCTGGCCTTACTACTAGGAACAA